TGCTGCCCTCTTGTGGGGAAACGGTGCTACTTACAGGGAAAAAAAAGGAAAAAAGAAGAAAAGGACAAATCCTTAGCTGAAGAAGTAACTCTGGCTTCCGGGAAAAGAAACTGACCTAGCAGTTGACCCTTTCACCATTTCTATAGCTTGAGGCTACCCAAGTCCATGTGGTCTCACACTCCATCATCGCGTCAAGAAAGACGTTAAAAAATGAAGAAGGATGGTTTTTTGTGTTTTCTAATCCCTTAAAAGCACCACTTGTGGACTTTGGTGCAAGTACTTGAAGGCCATGTGTCTTCAAGAAAGACTCCTACCACCTGTCTCAAGAAAATGAGGTGGCGTTTTGTTAGGTTTGGTTTTTTAATGCTTGACCTGAAATGAGAACTGCAAGCCACACCTAACACCTCATCTTGCAAAACTGGGAATGAGTCGCACCTTCTGGCTCACTATCTTCGAGAGTGTTGGAAGAACTCTCCTTGTTTAGGGGCCCTGGGGTGGCTCAGTCGGTTAAGCATCTGACTTGGGGTCAGGTCATGATCTCACGGCTTGCGAGTTCAAACCCCGTGTGGGGCTCTGCACTGACAGTTCAGAGCCTGGAGCCTGCTTCGGATTCTGTGTCTCCCTCTCTCTATGCCCCTCCCCCACTCAAAAATAGACAAACATTAAAAAAACTAAAGAAAGAACTCTCCTTGTTTATATGCAACCATCAACAAGCCACTCTCCTAATCCAACCCATTAAAAGCATCCAATAAACTTCTAACTAAGGTTTCCTGGGGCCACAGCTCCTTTAATTGGCCAGCACCAACCGCAGAGCCCTAGGGACTGTGTCAGGAGTCCTTCTGGACACTCAAGAAGAGGCTCTTGAAGTTAACCCTCTGCAGCTTGCTCCTGCTCCAGAGCTGCCTACATCAGAGCGCGGTCAACATCTGACTAGGGCTTCTCAGCGTCAGGGTACAGAGAGCCTCCCCCAACCCACCACACCCCTGTTGATTCTGAGCAAGTTTTCTATCAGCTGAGTTCTTATGCTAGGAAGAAAACCACTACATGGCCACTGGCTTGCTTGTCCTGAAGGCCAGTAGTGAAAATTTCTAGCAGTCCCCAACCCCCATCTCTCACATACCCACCGATGGAATACACAGCCTCACTAGAATGGGAGGGGAAAAGGAGAATACGGAAGGAAGGAGGAAGGGGATGGTCAGAGTTCTCCAAGGTCTTCAGTCTACAAAAAAAAACTTTTAAATCATTGAGTAAACCATCAATAGAGCCAACAGAAAAGTGGATAGAGAGTACAACAGCTCAAATAAAAACAAACAGTCCACAAGCACAGTAAGAGAGTCATCAGTCAAAAAGAGATGCAAGCCCATATAACAAGTCAGCAAAAAATTAAAACTTGACAGCACCCAGGGTTGACCAGGGGTTTGGGAAAATGGCCACGATCACACAATTACTATTGGTGGAAGTATAAATAAGTCCCAAAGTTTCGGCACACTCTGGCACTATGAAAACATTAACCACTGCGTCAGAAACTGCAGAATACTGACCAAAATTCAGGTTGCAATCGTCTCCCTGTATCCACAACTAGAGTGTTTCCCAGTTGCTCTGCAGCAAGGTGTGATTAGGGGCCTCTCTCTGCTCTAGCCAATGGCAGGATACGCATGTGATTAGCCCACGTCTACACTGCCCCATTAACACCTCCCAGGTGAATTTTCCACGCTCATCTCCCCTTCCAGGTGGCTGGAATAGAAGCCACTCTCAGTCAACCTGGGACACCACAGGTTGAAAATGTTAGTACTTCCATCCACCGTGGGTCCCAAAGAAGTACAGGATGATCATCCGGCCGCCCTATTTACCCCCTTCCCCACAAGACTTGTAAGCAAAAACAAGACTTCCCTTCGTTGAGCCCTTCTGTGCACTTGGTCTTTTGGTTACAGCAATTAGGCTACTCTCACTAATGCATTTACATGCACTTTCACTCAGTGTCTCACTACTAGGAATTCATCTGAAGTCGGAACATACATATTGGTATAAATATGATAACAAGCCAAATGTCCACAAAACTGAGAGTGATCAAATCAGTTATGGCACATCTATACCATAGATGACTATGCAGTGTTACAGAGAGTGATAGATCTATAAGCACTCAAATGAAAAGATCTATAAACTCTATTGTTAAATGGGGAAAAAAATCAAAACAAGAGCACAGTAATATACAAGTGCAACAAGCACATACACACATACTGGTATACACATTCTTTTTTTCCAGGATAGCTGTGATGATCAGTTTTATGTGTCAGCTTGCTTGGGCCATGGGATGCCCAGATATCTAATTAAACCATATTTCTGGGAGTGTCTTGGGGCACATGGGTGGCTCAGTCAGGTAAGCCCCTGACTCTCGATTTCAGCTCAGGTCATGGTCTCATTGTTGGTGAGATCCAGACATGAGTTGGGCTCCATGATGACAACATAAAGTCTACTTGAGATTTTCTCTCTCTCTCTCCCTCCCTCTCTCTCTCTCTTTCTGCCCCACCCCACTTTCTCACTCGCTTGCTCTCTCTCTCAAAATAAATATTTTTTTAAAAAATATTATTTCTGGGTGTGTCTGTAAAGGTGTTTCCAAAAGTGATTAGCATTTAAATTGGTGGACTGAGTAAAGTAGACGCCACTCTCCAATGTGGCTGAGCCTCATCCAATCCCTTGAGTATTTAAATGGAACTAAAACGTGGAAAAGGCTGACTTTGTTCTTTGCCTGACTGTTGAGCTGGGGCATCAATCTTCTCATGCCCTTGGTGTTCCTGGTTCTCAGCCCTTCAGACCTGGACTAGAGTACACACAGGCTCTTCGGCTCTCAGACCTTCAAATCACACCACTGGCTTTCCTGGGTCTCCACCTTGCAGACTGCAGATCATGAGACATCTCAACCTACACAGTTGTGTGAGCCAATATCTCAGAAGAAATCTCTTTCTATATTCCTTATATCATAAACACACACACACAGGGTAAAAGAATAAGAGAACAGAGCCCCCTGCAGGCAGGAACCAGTCCTGGCTCCTGTGATGATTGTTTAGACAAGAGGTGAGAGGGATTTAAATCACAAAGATGGGGGCGCCTGGGTGGCTCAGTTGGTTAAGCATCCGACTTCAGCTCAGGTCATGATCTCACGGTTCCTGGGTTCAAGGTTTGTGGATTCAAGCCTCGCGTCGGGCCCTGTGCTGATAGCTAGTTCAGAGCCTGTAGCCTGTCTTTGGATTCTGTATCTCACTCTCTCTCTCTGACCCTCCCCTGCTCACACTGTCTCTGACTCCCAAAAATAAATAAAAAACATTAAACATAAAATAAAATAAACTACAAAAATGAAGAAATCCCCCAAAAGCTAAGGAGCATGTGCTGAGAATCCAAATAAAATCACCTAGGAATTCATGGGCTGAAAATCTCATTTCCTTAGCAGAATTTGCTAAGTCTTTGCTCTGACTTCTTGCTGTCCCAACTGCTGTTGAACCTTTGCTCATATGAATGATACTGTTCGTACTTCTTGTGTATATAATTCTAATCTTAATTTAGATGTGTCCCTATGGCTGCACTTTTTTACATTCAGAGAAATGAGGATTGCCACATGGATAAAAATCAAAGGTTCAGTCATGTTCTCTGCTTCCTTCAACTTTTAAGCACTTTCCAACACAATCCCACAAGTGTAGTTCCTGGAAGCCTGGAAATCTATTCTTGATAACCTGCCCCACTAAAATGCTCTGCCTGATTACTACCCTCTCAACCTCCACCCAAGAAAAGAGATACAGATAAGACTAATAACTTCAAACACTCTATCCCTCAGAACAAGCTCATCAAAAGATACACAGTGCAATGACCAGCTAGCTGTAGGTACTTCCCAGCAGCCCAATGCTATTGATTTTATGCTGATTCATTAAAATTTCAATTATTTTTCCCTTCTTCTCTGAACTCTCACTTGAGATGGGAACATTGAGTCGTGAGAGATTTTTAAACTCATGTGAAGCCTAAAATTATGTCTTAACCTTTATATACGAGAACAACAGAGCGGAAAGCACAACCTATTATATGTCTGAAGGTAGGGATATCTGATAAACTCAGATAAGATCTATGGGAGAGAATTTATGATTCTGACATATGCCTGGTATAAGGGTTCAAGATTCACTTTTTCACTAAGCAGTCAAAGCAAGCCTAGCATTCTCACACCTCATACTATCGAAGCAAAGACAGTAAATTAATTATCCGGCAATAAGTCCACAAACAAATGTGAATTACCCAGGAAAACACAATTCACTGTGGAGTTTCCAAGTCTGTATCACTTTCAATGTAGATGTAACAAGGAAAGGGGGTGGTGGGGGGGAACACACACACACACACCTGCACACACAGATACTTAACTGATTATTTTCATCCTTTTTTTTTTTTTTAGAAATAAGCAAAGTATAGACAAGGGTCTCACTAGAAGTTACGAGGATGATCCTCTAAAAGTTTAGACATATTTTATTTTAGGTCCTATACAAAAGCTACCACTGCTTTTTCTTTTCTTTCCTCTTTATTTTTTTAAACCAGTCACCATCTTTTCTCCACACATGTTGAAAAGGTCTTAGATTATCTGAAAGCTTCACTCTAGCCGTGGAAGCGTTTAAGTTTACCAATAAAAGTGTTCTGCCTTCAAAGGAAGCTACAGGAGTAATACATGCACAGAGAAAGTGCTGCTGGCTTTCTGCGATTCTTTGAGAAAAATCACTGTAAGAATGGAAATGTATGCAGGAAAGGAAAAGGAAAAAAACCTGGAAAACATCTTTAAAAATGTCTGCGACAACATTCTTTAAGCACCAAACCACTGAACTGATTTGCTCTGATATATTTCATGCTTCCTCTGATTACTTATATATCATCAAAAGCTCTTGTCAATTGCCTGTGTCTAAAACATGGACTCTGACGTTTGAAAGGTTTTATTAATTGATCTCAGCGGCACATAATGAGCTTAAAGGGCTTACCTGCGTGTCCCCGGAGGTGCTGGCTCGAGGCGGACATCAGCTTACAGCACACCATTAACACATAGGCCAGAAAGAGCCAGTGCGACAGCAACACTGACTTAGCATAGACTCTCATCCTGGAGAGAAAGCAGGAAACAAAGTCGGTGAGCCCTCAGCGAGGTGAGTCTCTCGGGCAAACATGCAAACAGGATCTGGGAGACTCTGGGAGAAAGCTGCAGGACATGTCCCCGTGCTGGACTTCTCCCCCAAGGAAAGTGAAGGCCAAGCACATCTGATTTGCACTACGTATTAACTCAATTTTCAATGAACACTTTATATAACACAAGTTTTCCATGTTAGCAATGTGCTTCAATGAGAAGTCTATTTAGGAGCACCTGGGTGGCTCAGTTGGCTAAGCAGCTGACTTCACCTAGGTCATGACCTCACATGGATTATGAGTTCGAGCGCGAGTTGGGCTCTGTGCTGGCAGCTCAGAGCCTGGAGCCTGCTTCGGATTGTGTCTCCTGCTCGCTCTCTCTGCCCCTCCCCTTCTCATGCTCTGTTCTCTGTCTTGAAAAAATAAATATTTAAAAAATTTTTTTAATAAATGAAAAGTCTATTTATGAAGCCCCAGTGTGTAGACTGACTTGTCCAGATAGAACAGGGGGGTAATATACTATTTTATATCATGAAATGAGAAAGCTACATACTTAAAGCTGGGATTAGAATAAAATAGACATAGTTTCTGCATTTCAAAGAAACCACAGAAATTGTCACACTCAACCTGAGAGTTTTCTCCTGGTTTCTCTGACTATATATTAATATATGATTATTAGCCTCAAAGTTTAGTGGGATACAAGCAAGTACAGGTAAATATAAAATAAAACAGATGAAAAGATAAAGAAGATGTGGTATATACACATGGTGGAATATTATTCAGCCATGAAAAATGACATCCTTTCATCTGCAACAATTCAGATGGATTTTGAGGTCATTATGCTAAGGGAAATAAGACAGAAAAAGACCAGTCCTATTTGATCACACTTATATGTAGAACGTAAAATTTTTTTAATGTTTTATTTATTTTTGAGAGAGAGATAGAGACAGCATGAGCAGGGGAGGGTCAGAGAGGGAGGGAGACACAGAATCCAAAGACAGGCTCCAGGCTCTGAACTAGCTGTCAGCACAGAGCCTGACGCGGGGCTCGAATCCACAAACCGTGAGATCATGACCTGAGCCAAAGTCGGACACTTAACCAACTGAGCCACCCAAGCGCCTCTTATATGTGGAATTTAAAAAAGACACTCAGAGAAACTGAATAGAGTGTAGTTAGCAAAGACTGGGAGGACAAAAAAATGGGGCAATATTGATCAAAAGGTACAATTTTTCAGTTATAAGATTAACAAGTTTGGGGGTTTTATGTACAGCACGGTGATTACAGCTAATAATACTTTATCATATACTTGAACGTTGCTAAGAGATCTTAAATGTTCTCACTACAAAAAAGAAATGGTAATTATGTGAGAGGATGGAGCTGTTAGCCAATATTACGGTGGTCATCATTCTGTAATTTGCATATATTTATCAAATCAATGCATTGTATACCTTAAACATACACAATATTATGTATCAATTATATCTCAATAAAGCTGGAAAGATAAACTTAGCTTCACAGGGATGGACACTATCAAAACAGTTGCTCAAGGATAATTCAGTTCATGTGGATGCATAGTCTATTATTCTCAAACAAACCCAAAAGAAATTAAATAAAAAGAGCATATCAAAAATGCATTCTCCCCCACCAAATTTTATTTTCTTTCTTCTCTTTCTTTTCTTCCTTCCTTCCTTTCTGTCTTTTTTGAGAGAGAGAGAGAGCATGGGTAAGCTGGGGAGAGGGGCAGAAGGAGAAAGAGAGAATACCTTAAGAGTCTCCACACTCAGCACAGAGATGAAGACAGGACTCTGGGGCTCTGGGACCATGACCGGAGCCCAAATCAAGAGTGGAATGCTCAACCAAGCCACCGAGGTGCCCCATTTTCTTTTTATTTTAATTGAAGAATAGTTGACATCTCCCCAATTTCCTGCCCTTTTTGACATTACAGGGAAATCAGATAGAACATGATTGACTTTTTTGTTTCAATTTTGTTAACCAACTTTTTTAAGCAAAAGTCAGAGAGATTGGCATTTGGAACTCCAGTGATATTAGGCACATGTATCATGTCGTCCCTGATGGAACTCAGCAGAGTGGATCAAAGGAATCCCTTACATATATGTATCTCACGTATAAACACTCATGGACAGACAATAAAGACAGGGCCCATGGGCTTGGCTTCCTGTTTGCCTCCCTAGGGTCAAAGCTCCTGAAGGTCTGGAAGGAAGGGTCTAGAGCCCATGACTGCCCTCAGCCATTTAGCCAGAACCCTGAGTCTGTGCTTAAGGGAAAGCACTGCCTTGGGCACCTAAAACCCAACTCGTACTCCAGAGAACAGGTTCTACCCCCACCCTTCTCTCTTGGACTCTCCCAATTTAGTCACAAAGATCTTGCTGAAAAGGTATCATACTGTTCCTTGATATGAGACTCAGTCTGCCTTTGAAGCAGCGACGGAAAGACAAGTTTCTTTTTTTTTTTTTTACAAATTGTTTATTGTCAAATTAGTTTCTACATAACACTCAGTGCTCATCCCCAAAGTGCCCTCCTCCATGCCCATCCCCCCCTCCCCCCCACATCCATCAGTCCTCAGTTTTTGTCAGCATTCAAGAGTCTCTCATGATTTGCCTCTCTCCCTTTCCCCCACCATTTCCGCCCTTCTTCTCCCGCTTGTTCCTCCGTCAAGTTCCTCCTAATCCTCCTATACGTGCAAACATATGATATTTGTCCTTCTCTGCCTGACTTATTTCGCTCAGCATAACACCCTCAAGGTCCATCCATGTTGCTACACATGGCCAGATTGGAAAGACAAGTTTCTAACATCATCTTTGAACAACTCGGCATCAAAAAACACACCAAGTGTTGGCTTCTTTTTGCCCTTTGCCTTGGAAATCCTGAGCATTATAAACTGACATGGAAACATCAAGTCTCTGCTGTGAAGGCCCTACACCTGCTCTCATTTCTAAAAGCAACATCTTCTATCTCCCCCACTTCATCCTGTACACACAGGAGACAAACCCTAGGAGAAGTTCAAAAAGTGGCAAATATGTGGGTCTACCTGAATGTGCGGTACTATTACAGTTGACCCTTGGACAACACACAATGGAACTGTGCAGGTCCACTTACCTGAAGTTTTGTACTTTTTCTCCCTTATGATTATCATAATAACATTCTCTTTTCTCTAGGTTATTTTATTGTAAGAACACAGTATATAATACATATAGCATATAAAACATGCCTAACTGGCTGTTTATTGGTAAGTGTTCCAGTCAACAGTAGGCTCTTTTTTTTTTAATGTTTTATTATTTATTTTTGAGAGAGAGTGAGACAGCACGTGAGCGAGTGGGGGAGGGGCAGAGAGAGAGGGAGACACAGAAACTGAAGCAGGCTCCAGGCTCTGAGCTGTTAGCACAGAGCCTAACGCTGGGCTCAAACTCACAAGCTGTGAGATCATGACCTGAGCCAAAGTTGAATGCTTAACTGACAACCCCCCGGGTGCCCCAGTCAACAGCAGGCTCTTAGTAGTTAAGTTTCAGAGGACTCAACTGCCCTAACCCATGTGTTGTTCAAGAATCAACTAATTAATTATATTATCATTTTAGGGAATTGATTATTAATATAACACTAATTGGGGAAAGCGTGTAGTTTCAAAATTCCATATTTGCAGAACTTGTGGATGAAGCGCTCTGACCCACCCATTGTGTTTTAAAATTCCAGTTGTTAATTCCAATATTAGAACAATCTGTTACAAAGGCTCTAACCCGAGTGTCAAAAATTCAAGTGCTTACAAGAGAAGGTGTAGACTGACGAGACCCGAGGCACTGGTGAGCGGCAGGGAGTGTGGAGGCTACCTCGGGGCAGCAGCTGCCCCCCTGGACTGTTACTGTAGCCCAGAAATATGAGCCCAGGGACACCAAGACTAACTTCTCAAGAGAAAATGCAATGAGCACATTTTATATGTTGGCAACGAACTCCGTTTGCTTTATTTTAAACACAGAACACAAAACAGATGAAGTTAAACACATGTGCAGGTTGGATCAGGCACTCTGGCTTCCAGTTTGCAGCAATTAGTGACCCCAAAAGGAAGAATCTTAAGGAACCAGATAAATGGGGTATGCGTGTTCAATTTCTGCATAACAAATAAACTGCCATACTCAGCAGTTGAAAACAACATGGACTTCATCAACTGATGAATGGATCAAGAAGATGTGGTTTATCTATACGATGGAATACTACATGGCAATGAGAAAGAATGAAATCTGGCCATGTGCAGCAACGTGGATGGAACTTGAGGGTGTTATGCTGAGCGAAATAAGTCAAGCAGAGAAGGACAGATACCATATGTTTGCATGTACAGGTGCGTTAGGAGGAACTCAACGGAGGACCATGGGGGAGAAGAAGGGGAAGATGCCCATTGGCTTCTTAATTCTTTACCCTCCACTCAGTATCATTAAATAATTTTCTTCTGCTCTGTGGGTTGGCTCCACTGTCTCTAACCACTAAGTCCCACCTAATTTAATTTCCAAATTCAGACTGGGTCTTTCAGGTGAGCTATAAGCTCTCCAACCTAAGGTACAAGTGAAATCTTGTTTCCATGTTTATCAGTCTCTGTATCACTTAAACTTGTCTGAAGGGGGGTTACAAAATTTGGAGAGTATATTTAAGACAATCTGCATATCAAGGTTGAGAATTGGTGAGCAGGACATGAACTAAGGGGTGCTCCGGGGTTATTACCTATGGAGGAAGAAGGAAGGAAGGACAGAAGGAGAAAAGGCCTCAGACAACCCAATAGAGAATTACACAGCTGAGATGCCCCTTTTCAGTGATCCCAAGCTGGGGTGAGAGGCCAGACCTTTTCCATGGTGATACATCACTGGATATGAGCTACCCCTAGAAAGAGGCATGATTTTAGGCAAGGGAGCTCTTTGAATTGAGGATAATTCAAAGAAGCTGCAGGCCACCTTCTGCAGTACTCCCAACAGTGAGGGAATAAATCCTTCATTCCTAAAGGGGAAGCTGGGCAGTGCACCATAGTGTCCACTACTATCCGTATTCATATAGAAGATGGCACACGCGATATGCATCATTTACTTTGTGGGGCCGCGTAGTCATCCTCAAGAGAAGACTCATCCTCTGAGGGATAAAAAGACCATGCCATGCTCATTAAAATGTCACAGGAAGTGGTTTCATATATGAAGCCTATCCCTGACGGAGCCTGTTTTGCCCTAAGATCCCTTCTCTTCCCTTCCCCCGGGTCACTCCGACAGGATGCAATTCCCAGGCCCCTGAATCAGCGGGCTCTCACCAATAGGAGAGAGTATCTAAAGACTGGAGAGTAGCATAAAAAGGATGGGGGTGTTTCTCCCCACCTTCTCCATCTTGGGCAGTAGTCATTTCTCCTCCATGGTGCCCATTCCATTACGGTTCTAGCTCCCACCAAGGGTCCCCTTCCCTAGGTGCTGGCAAACATGACTTCCTTCCTTTGTTCTACGAGGCTGGATGGAAGTAGCCTTCCACTGTTCCTTATCCCTGGGCTGCCTCCACACCTTCTGCTTGACTTCTCTGACTCTCCCTTTACGTATGTTCCCTGAATTCAATTCCTTCTACCCAACAGTAGAAGTTCTGTTCTACCCAAACAGAAAGCTCTTCCTGTTTTACCTGGTTGAATCCGAACAACAAACCCCAACCCCAAAACCTCAAGGGCACCCACTCCAATCCTAGGGGATGATCCCTGATTCATTATCTTACGAGTATTTGACAACAAGAGCTGTCACTGTCTAGAAAAAGACCTGGGAATGAGTGAACAGCTATTCAACAATCTTTTTTTATTTTAGGCAATAATCAAGACCCCCAGTAAAAGGACTTCTGACCTACCAAAATACTTCAGCTTCAATGTCTTTTACCTTGAACATTTTGTTCAAAAGTAAGACAAAATTGGCTTATCTTTAAAATTTCCCCTTTCACCTCACAGAGGAGCCAAGGCACTGCTTTACAAACTGAAATGATTTGTAACACGAGAGCTAAAACTTGAAAAGCTGGGATTCCCAAAATACTCAAACATTCAATGTGAAAGAAACCTTTTATCAAAGATCATCAACTCCAGGATACTCCGTTTTGCTGAATTCTCAATGCTTCACAAAGAAACCCTCCCTAGGTGTCTGTTAAAATCATTTTACCTTGGTGACTTCATATATGGTTCCAGTCAAACACAATTATTTCCGGATGAATTTCAGACCAACTCCAAATTCCCATTTGTAGCTATCGCCAACAGTTTCTGCAGTTCCAAAAAATTATCCTAGCCTGGAAAGACCTATTTAAGAAACAAAAACATGGGAAGGCATTAGCATTTTAAAGTTGAAAGGATACAGATTTCTGGTAACAAAATAATGTTTTTTACAATGAAACATGTAGTTAGTTGCAGGACCGTGGTAGGCAAGCAAATGCACCCACATTTGCAGTGTCCTGATACATGAGGGGGAAAGGATACAGAATCCTACACTCATTAACAAGCCACAGGTTTGGTTAACAGAACACAACTTTGAAGTAGAAGTTCTCTCAGCAGCAAAGGCATTGAAAACTTGACGGAGGAAGCTTTGCGCAGTGGCAGTATCGTAGCCAATGAGGTTTATCCGAGGCGCGATTATTGCTAATTGAAAACTTGACGCAAACCATTCATGATGTAAAATTCCATTCTTCCCATTTCGTTAAAAAACAGGACGAAAACAGAAGTTAGAGAGAGTCCATTTCCAAGAGTTCTGCAACGTGCCCAAGCTCACAGCCCAATGGAAAACCCAGCACGAAGATCTGAATGCCTAGCTTTGTGTGACGCAAACCTGAAAATGTTGCTGAATAATCTGTGAGGATCCTTTTTGAAAAATGTTAATGAAGGAGGAGGGCAAATGTCTTTCCAAAATATACCATCACACCAAAATACACCATCACACCAAAATACAAAGAAAGAACACTTGTTAATACCGTAACTGACATTCTACAAGGTCCTTTAATGCACAGACCTAAAAGGAGTTTTCCACTCAGCAAAAACATTTTTGCAAGAAGGATTCAGATGATCCCAAACCAAGGACGCGCTGAGAAAGAACAATGGACCTTGAAACTACACCATTTTTTTTAAGTTTATTTATTCATTTTGAGAGAGAGATAGAGCAAGTGCAGGAGAGGGGCAAAGCGAGAGAGACAATCCCAAGCAGGGTCTGCACTGTCAGCACAGATCTCAAAGCAGGGCTCAATCCCACAAACCATGACATCATGACCTGAGTTGAAATCAACAGTGAGGTGCTTAACCGACTAACCCACCCAGGCACCTCGAAACGACACCAGATTTAACGCGGCTAAGTTAAAGACCCCTCCCAGGGGTGGAGATCAGAGAAAAATGACGATATGCACCAGTAAATATTACAGTTGCAAATATGAGATAAAAATGTTCGCTGCAACACAGTCTAGTTACTTCAGAATCCTGCTGAACCCATTACAAATCCGCCACAAAGCACAAGTGAGACATTTCACTTCTTTACACACCCCTGAAGATAACTACACATTTGACTAAAGAACCCAGACCCACCCCTCCGGGCCTTAAGGAAGGAAGAGTCGACCTTGAGTGAATAGCTCAACAAGAGGGAAGAGGCTTTGAGTAACTGCATAAATCTAAGGTATTTGGGGGGAAAGAAAATACTGGAAACTGTTAATCTCCCACATCCTCCAACTTTATTAAGTATGTTTGTCCTGATGTCCACCCAACGGCACAGCGTGACCTTCCGTTATCGGAAAGAAATACACAGTATAATTTATCAGTATCCATCATAATGAACTTCCCACATATCGGAAACCAAAATGACCTTTCCTAGCTAATATTTATCTTGTTTTCTTCACACAAAAGGAACCACTGGGGATTCTTTCCTCAATTCATTAAAAAAATGGACCCATCAGTGAAAAGAAATGTGATCTCATCGTTTGTATGCCAGACAAGGAGCCAGGAGTTTAATTTTAGGCTGGGCAGTAACTCATTCGGTCAGATTTTCCCAGGGTGCCTCCTGGGCGATGGCTTCAAAGGATTAACTCTTTCCTGTCACTTCCAAACTTGAGTGCAATCAAGACCATGAATAATTTCGCGCTTGGCCCCAAAAGCATTTACTTCTAGTCATTGCTTTTCTCTCTCTGTTGTTTTCAAGCCATAGTACAGTCCATTCTACCCCTCTGCTTCCAAACTTGTTTGTTTTTAAATAGTCTCTGTGTTTTCCACGATGAAAGACTTTGCCCATGTCTCAACTTAAAAAAACAAAAAAATGTTTTCAGGTGCCCTGTCATTCTCAGAATGAACTTAAAAGACTAGGCATTTAGACGTCGGGCTACATTTTTTATCTTTTCCCTCACGTGGTGGTACTGTGTAGAGATAGTCACTCTCTTCCAACAAAGGAGCATAGTCCCTGTTTATGTTTCCTAGTACCAAGAAACTTGAAGATTTCCAGCCACAGTAGACCATTCTTCAAACGTTTAATTTCTTTCCCTGGTACACTGGAAAAAATTCTGCCTACAGTTGATTTCTTATCAAGGAAATAGTGAGGTTTTGCCTTTCTCTTTTCTCTGGGTCTATTTGCCCTCACCAGGAGTAGGGCGAATCCCCTAAGGAGATTATTCTTTAGGAATCGTCATTTACTTGTTGCAGATAAGCAGCCTCAGAATATCTGTGTTGGTTTTACTAGAGCCGCCTCACTCCACACACGTCAATATGGATAGCATCAAGTTCCAACTCAGCTTTCCAGGCTACAAATTTACAGTGATGATATATCACAGTTCCTTTTAGAATTGGAAGACACAATGACCTTAAAGCTAGATCTAATCAGGACGAAAAATCAGACTAACTCAAATTTGAGGGACACTCTAAAAACGTAATTGCTTTTGAAAGTATCAAGGTCGTGAAAGACCGAAAAAAAAATCTGAGGAACTGTTTCAAATAAAGGTGAGACACATGGCAACAAAATGCAATTCTGATGGTACAATGGATCTTGGGACCAGAAACACACACACACAGACTCACACAGAGCCATCCTCAGAATGAAGTACATACACACACAACATACACACATATACAGACACTGCTATAAAGGACATTGTTCCAACAATTAACAATTTTTAGCCTGCAGAATACATTACAGTGTTGTATCAACATTAAGTTTCCTGATTTGGATGATACTGTATATAAGACAGAGACTGTCCTTGTTACTAAAAAAAATACTCTTAAAATATTTAAGAATAAAAAGCAAATGCCTCCAACTTATTTTCAAATGATTCTGAGGGGGGAAAAACTAAAAAGGAGGGAAGGGGAAAGGAAGATAGAGAAGAGTGAATGTATGGCTATAAAAACCAAGGAGCATAATGTAAACAATTCGTGAATCTGGGTAAAGGGTATACAGGAGTTCTTTGTACTATTCTTTCAACTTTTCATTAAGTCAGAAATTATGTAAAATAAGAAGTTACATATCTAATTAAAAGCTTTCAATTCATAAGACATACAAAAGTGATTTAGAATTTATTACCAATTCTAACAACAAGGAGAGTTGATAGTTGGAATGTTCTGGCTAATTCAACTCTGAGCATTCAGCCAAGCCCCCACAAGAAGCACTCCCAGTGCTAGGCCCTGTGTTAAAGCACTTTAAAATATTAGTAGGATTGGGTGCCTGAGAGGCTGAGACAGTGAAGCGTCCAACTTCGGCCCAGGTCATGATCTCGTAGTTAGTGAGTTTGAGCCCCACGTCGGGCTCTGTGCCGACAGCTCAGAGCCTGGAGCCTCCTTCGGATTCTGTGTCCCCCTCTCTCTCTGGCCCTCCCCTGTGTGTTCTCTGTCTCTATCTCTGTCTCTTGAAAATAAATAAACATTAAAAAAAATTTTAAAACACAAAAATAAAATATTAGTAGCATTTATTTATATCCTGATACGCAGATGAGGAAAGTAAGGCACAGAGAGAGTAAGTGATTTGCCCGAGGTCACCCAGCCAGCAAGCAGCTATGTCAGGATTCAAATTCAAGCCATCTGGCACCAAGGTACCTGCTGTTTCAGTTCCTGTAAAATTAATTCCAAAAACTATGAGTCTCTTTTCATGCTTTCGTAAATAGACTGAAAATATATCTTCTTCAGGAATTCAAGACCTTGATCAGCATCCTAAAGATGGGAATTCTGTCTGGAAACATGTGTGTAGGCCATCAGACTAAATGTGCGAGCAGATCCCGACTTGGAGCAGAAGGTGTCAGATATTAACCCCTAAATAAATGTTGCTTCCTCTCGGAAAAGCTGGGGAAAAACAGTGAATCAGAATCACTGCGGGCTTCTGATTTGCTGCCACTTTATTAAAGTCTTATGTCATTTTCCAGATTAAGACCAAACATGCAAGAATTCTCAAGTCCTTCAGGGCTGAAGCTGCCATTTTTCCAACAGATGGGAGACAACCACACTTCAGATCGGAACTTGTCTAAAACGTTTCAGAGAAAACACACCAGAGCCAGAACGTAACACACGAAGGCTAAATTACTTTTGTGGATTTGGATGAAGGAATTCGGCATTGAAACAAAACCAAAAAAAAAAAAAAAAAAGATTTTGTCTATTCGTTCTCCCAGACTCATTTCCTGACAAGCTCCAATTTGGAAGCATTTCTTCAACAAAACAGCATAGCAGATTCTCGCTTAATAACAAAGCAAGCAGGGGGCGCCTGGGTGGCTCAGTTGGTTAAGTGTCTGACTTCGGCTCAGGTCATGACCTCACAGTCCATGGGTGTGCTGTACTGACAGCTCAGAGCCTGGAGCCTGCTTCGGATTCTGTGTCTCCCTCTCTCTCTCTGCCCCTCCCCCGCTTGCTCTCTGTCTCTGTCTCTCTAAATAAAATAAAGACATAAAAAAACTTTCTCAGAAAAATAATAATAATAAGGCCAACAGTTCCAAACAGCACTGCCCCTTCCCGCCCGCCCACTGGCAAGTGGTCACAAGTTCTACCTTGCATCACCTGCCAAGTGGGCACTTTCCAGTAATTGGCTATTTCCAGACTCACCATCAGTGCGTCTGACCTCCCATGGTGGGATCTACTAAGAGACTCTCGTTCTCAGTCCCCCAGGGATCAGCAAGCAAGTTAGCATAATTCTCCCAGCAATTGATACAACCCTTAAAAGTTTAGATGTTGTGATAAATCATTTTACCACACTAATTTCTACTCAATCAAGATAGGAGATGAAGTAAGTGAGAAATGTATCATAAATTAGCAACCTGGGTTCGGGGAGTTAAAAAAAAAAAAAGGCAAGGAAGGTTCTATGA